GCGAGCGGGCACCCACGGAGTAGGGCCGGCGAAATTATTTTTGAGGGTGTCTCGAGCGAAACGCTTGTTTTTCAGAATTTGTTGAGGATGTCTCGAGCGAAACGCTGGTTTTGCAGAGTTGGGGATGTCTCGAGCGAAACGCTTGTTTTCAGAATTTGTTGAGGATGTCTCGAGCGAAACGCTGGTTTTGCAGAGCACGACCGCACGACACGAATAGCGCCCTAGCGCTGGAATTTCCTGCATTCTCGCGCTGTGCGCGTGTCCCGCGCGCCGGTGTATTTGGTTTCTTGGGGTTTGACCGGCTTGTCTCGAGCGGGTGGAAACGCTGGTTTTTCATAATTTGTTGAGGATGTCTCGAGCGAAACGCTGGTTTTGCAAAATTGGAGGATGTCTCAAGCGGTGGCCTCGTGGGGGGCCAGAATTCAAAGGATGTCTCAGGCGAAATGCTTGTTTTCACGTCCCGCTCGCAGGAATTCCGAGGATGTCTCGCGCGTGCAGCGTCCCGCGCGTAGGAATTCAAATGATTTTGACAGGATGTCTCGAGCGAAACGCTTGTCCCCAGCACGTTCCGCAGCGCGTCCCCTTGGCAGGTCCCGCGGTGCGACCCCATGGCACGTCCCCTGGCACGTCGCCTGGCGCATCCCTTGGGACGTTTCGCGGCGCGTCCTCCTGGCATGTTCCCTGTCCATTAGCTCTGGGGCAGCTACTATGTGTTCAGGCAGCTCGAGCTTAAGATCCAGATCAGTTCGGTCAGGACTCGGATGCAAAGGAGGACTCGATCCAAGAGGCTATAGAGCACAATCGCGCCATGGCACATCGCAATTCAGCACGGCGCAGCACAGCACTGATTTCGGCACGGTACATCAAGGTCGATACACTCAGCATTGCAACTTGGCACGTTCCTTGGCACGTTCCGTGGGGCGTCCTTTGGCGTGTCCCCCTGGCTCGTCGCGTCGCGCGTCCCCTGGCACATCCCGTGGCACATCCATTGGCACGTTCCGTAGCGCGTCCCCTTGGCACGTCCCGCGGTGCGTGCCCATGGCACGTCCCATGGCACGTCGCTTGGCGCGTCCCTTGGGACGTTCCGCGGCGCGTCCTCCTGGCATGTCCCCCTGTCGATTAGTTCTGGGGCAGCTACTATGTGTTCAGGCAGCTCGAGCTTAAGATCCAGATCAGTTCGGTCAGGACTCGGATGCAAAGGAGGACTCGATCCACGAGGCTATAGAGCACAATCGCGCCATGGCACATCGCATTTCAGCACGGCGCAGCACAGCACAGCCCTCGGCAGGGTACATCAAGATCGATACCTTCAGTATTGCATTTGCCCGTCACCCAATCAGGTGTCTTTGAAAACGCTGCCATGTGTTACAGTTCTACATTCCTTTCCGGGTTCGTGGGTCGATCATGTTCCCGGAAAGGGCGCGGGCCCAGGGTTCTCTTTTAGTAGGTTAACCCCCCGGCCCCCCTGCGACTTGGGCCGGCGAACTTGATTTTCAGAATTTGTTGAGGATGTCTCGAGCGAAACGCTTGTTTTGTATTGTATATATTGTGCTCTCCTGGGGACCTGAATTCAGAGGATCTCTCAGGTGAAATGCTTGTTTTCACGTGCCCAGGTTTTGAGGATGTTTCGAGCGAGACGCTTAGTTTCACGCCTCCAGGTTGCCCAGACGTGTGTCTAGCATGAGGATTTGTTGAGGATGTCTCGAACCAGAGGCTTGTTTTCACGTGTCCAAGTTGCCCAGGCGGATGTCTAGCATGAGGCGGTGTCGAGGAAGTCTCGATCGAGACGCTTGTTTGCGCGTGTCCAGGTTGTCCAGGCGGATGTCTAGCATGAGGATGTGCTGAGAACGTCTTGAGCGAAACTCGTGTTTTCACGTGTCCAGGTCGCCCAGGCACAGCACAGCCCTCGGCACGGTACATCAATATCGATACCCTTAGCATTGCAGCCTGGCACGTTGCCTGGCACGTTCCGCGGAGCGTCCCGTGGCGAGTCCCCCTGGCACGTCGCGCGGTGCACGTCCATTGGCTCGTTCCGTAGCGCGTCCCCTTGGCACGTCCCGCGGTGCGTGCCCATGGCACGTCCCTTGGCACGTCGCCGGGCGCGTCCCTTGGGACGTTCCGCGGCGCGTCCTCCTGGCATGTCCCCCTGTCCATTAGCTCTGGGGCAGCTACTATGTGCTGAGGCCGCTCGAGCTTAAGATCTAGGTCGGTTCGGTCAGGACTCGTGTGCAAAGGAGGACTCGATCCACAACGCTATAGAGCACAATCGCGGCATGGCACGTCGCAGTTCAGCACAGCGCAGCACAGCACAGCCCACGGCACGGTACATCAAGATCGATACACTCAGCATTGCAACTTCGGCACGTTCCATGGCGCGTCCCGTGGCGAGTCCCCCTGGCACGTCGCGCGGCGCGTCTCCTGGCACGTCCATTGGCACGTCCATTGGCACGTTCCGTAGCGCGTCCCCTCGGCACGTCCCGCGGTGCGTCTTCGTGGCACGTCCCTTGGCACGTCGCCTGGCGCGTCCCTTGGGACGTTCCGCGGCGCGTCCTCGTGGCATGTTCCCCTGTCAGTTAGCTCTGAGGCAGCTACTATGTGCTGAGGCAGCTCGAGCTTAAGATCCAGATCAGTTCGGTCAGGATTCGGATGCAAAGGAGGACTCGATCCACAACGCTATAGAGCACAATCGCGGCATGGCACGTCGCAGTTCAGCACAGCGCAGCACAGCACAGCCCACGGCACGGTACATCAAAATCGATACATTAAGCATTGCATTTGCCCGTCGCCCAATCGGGTGTCTTTCAAACGTTGCCATGCCTTACATTTCTATATTCCTTTCCGGGTTCGTGGGTCGATCATGTTTTCCTCCTCTTTTTGGACCTCCTGGGCGGCCCTCCTCGCCACCGCTGGATTCGCCTCGAAATCCTGGTCAGAACGCACCCCGGCAGAGATCCGGGGAGCAGCGGTATCGGTACCTTTTGGTTTCCCCAAGATCGAAGAACAAAAAAAACATAAACATGAACTTTTGGAGCTCCTCACGGATTTCTTGGATCTGCGCTGGGCCCCCCCCCCGGCGGCGCCTCCAGCGCCGCCCCTAGTGCGCTCCACGCGCCAGGGAGGGGGGTTCCAACGCCCAGCGCAGATCCAAGAAACCCGCGCGGAGCACCAAAAGTTTATGGTTATGCCGTTTTTCCTTTTTCTATCTAGGCTCCGGGAGGTCTGCCTGGCTTTCGCGCGCTCCTCTGGGAGGGTGCGCGAGGCGTACGATGCTTCCGCCTACTGCCCGTGCGTCCTCGAGGCACTGCAGGACGCCTTCCAGCGCGAGGGCAGGAAGAGGACCCGGACCGGCCTGTGACATGCCCACGCGCCGTTGGGGTCGGGCGGGGCTTACAAGAAGGAAAAGGCACACACGCACATACACACACACACACTGACAAACTTGACAAGATCATAAGACCTTCCCGCTGTTTAGGCATACTGTGGGTAAAAATTTTAGCTTCGATGGTGTAGTTGACGAAGGTGCATTCGAACTTCGCCATGGTGCGCGCGAGCTCGGCGATGTAGAAGGTTGCGCGCGCTCTACTGCGGGCTCTGGCGGGGAAGCACAGCACACTCCACTCGCAGCGTGAAGCGTGCGCCCCTGGCAGGGGAATGCCGCTGGCGCTGCTGCACACCGCCGAGCGCGGCAACCCGGCCGTGGCGACAGGAGAGCGACTCCTGCGGGCACCCCCTGGCCCTCGAGGACACAGGACAGAGCACAGTACCCAGGCGTTGCACGCGTGCCCTCTGCTGCGCGCGGGCCGTTCGAATTAAGCCCCTTGGACGCAGGGGTTGCCTCTGGCATGGGGCCCAGAGGCCACAGACCGAATCTTAATGGGCGCGCGTAAGGAGGCCTGGGGACAAGCGAAAACCAGACCGGCGCCCCCCTCACCCGGGCAAGCGATGCTTCCCGACAGTGCGTTCGTCATTAGACTGTGTGTGTCCCCAGATATTTCCGTTCTCCCAACGGACGCGCGAACACGCGCGCAACCCTCCTTCCCCCTTCCCCTCCTCGAAAATCCAGACAAGAGCAACGAAGGTTTCTCGAAAGTCTGGGAGAAGAAGGGCGGGCCTCACACGCTGCGCCGCGGCGCCAAATCACTAAGCTGCATCCCACGCTTCGTCCCCTCGACCCGCCTCCTCTTTCTCGTCCCTCTCCCCTCCTGCTCGTCCATCATCGATCCCACCCCGCGGCTCCGTGAGGCGGGCGCCTGTCTCCCTCTGTGAGTACTGCTGGTCCTCGCCGCCCTCACCAGACGAGCATTTGCCATGTCGCCGCTGCTATGTGCCGGCGGGGTGGACGACATGTTTCAGAGGATCAGTCACTTGATCATTGACGCACGTGCTCGAGGAGTTCTCTCTGGGTTGCGGCTGTATACGCCCAAGACAGTGGTTGTGCTGTTGCATCCTTGTGATCGGTTGGGGCTGCAGCGTCGCTTGCGACGAGCTTCCGACCGCGAACAAGGATCCGCGCGGCATGCTTCGCGAAGTACCCCAGAGACTGTCCTCGGCCCCGATCGCGGGCAGCGCGTGCTTGACAACCCCACAGAAAAGTGCTTGGCACGCACTCGTGAATGATTGGACAGAGCGGGAGGCGGTGTTTTCTCCGCCAAGCTCGCCTACAGGGTGCACATATTGATTATCCGATTCCCCACTGCAGCCCGATACGGTTCGTGCCGCACGGGAGCGGTCCGAGGATGCCGCCTTGTGCTTCATCTTACGGGGCCGTGGTGCGTGGTGCATCCCTGCGAGCGTTCGTTCCCCCATGCTCCTCGGGAGAGCACGCTTCAGTACGACCAAGATGGATACGGAGCGACTGGGAACGAAAACCAGCAGCATTTCTTAGGATTCGTTGTCGGTGTCGCCACGGACGAGGTCCTTCTGAGCAGCCGCTGATAGTGTTGGACAGCATGTGTTGTTGGTCATTGTACACATGTTTCCCGTACCCACATCGGGCATGCCAAATGTTCAGGAGTGTTTTGTTGGTTCTCGCGGAGCTTGTCGGGGTGTGTTGTCCAGGCCATCGTGGCGATGTCAGGGGATGTCCTGAATCTGTATCGACGAGCCGTGTAACCGTCTGGGGAGAGACGGGGTCAGGGCCGCTCTCATGGGCCCGACCCGGAGCTTGCCTTGCAGTGAGGCCGTTCAGAGGTGGACAATCCACAGCAGATCCGTGCCCGAACACAGACAGGTCCTTTATCCACAGATTGCCGTCATGGTTTCTCTCCTGCTGTAGCCACTTTCGCTTCAAGCCCCCAGGGCTGGCGCGGGCGGGCGAAAGTGGACTCGGCACATCGCACACCAGCGGCTACGAAACGGTCCTGCGCGTCCCCGGCCAGGGCGCGCCCTGGTCGCCATGGGGCAGAGCTTGTCCGAGCAGTGGCAGCGTGTCACCGGTGACCCACAGTACCTCTGCGGCGCGCAGCCAAACGCCGTCGGCCTCGCCGTCTCGGGGGTCTGGACCCGCCTCTTCGGCAAGCGTGAGGTGTGCATCATTATGGTTGGTCTCGACGGAGCTGGCAAGACTACTGTGCTGTACCGGATGAAGCTCGGCACGATAGTGACCACAGTCCCCACGGTGGGTTTCAACGTGGAGAGGCTTGAGTACCAAAACCTTGTATTCACAATTTGGGACCTCGGAGGCCAGACGAGGACACGCAAGCTTTGGGAGCATTACTATCAGAACACGGACGCTCTCATCTTCGTGGTGGACAGCTCCGACCGAGAACGCATAGAGGAAGCCCACGAAGAGCTTCTGAAGATGCTTCATAGAGAGGAGATGAGGGACGCGGTGTTGCTGGTCCTGGCCAACAAGCAGGATTTGCTTGACGCCATGACGACGCAAGAGCTCACCACCAAGCTTGGGCTAAATGGCCTCGGCAGGAGCCGAAAGTGGTTGGTACAGGAGACAACTGCGACGGTCGGGGACGGGCTGTATGAAGGTCTCGACTGGCTTGCTCTTACTGTCGCCACCAACCACACGGGCCAGCGGCGGTAGGCCTTCTGCATCACGGATTGTTGTTGTCTCACACGATTGTGTCTTTTCTTATTCCGAGTTCTCTTGCTTGTCTTTGTGTCCTAGCTTGTCGCTGCAGCGCCCGCGCCAAGTGTGCAATGAGAAGGCAGGCCTGAAGGGATGATTGCGTTTTTTTCCCGCGAGCCAGCAGCGTTCAGGATTGCGGGCGGTAGTCTTACCTGATGTGTTCTTTCTTTGATCGGCGGGAGCAGTGACAGCAGGGCCAAAGCATCTGATAGTGCACGATCTGATTGCCCAATGTGCAACTAATCAAGTCTCCAGGCGACGAGCACCACTCGTTGTTATCCTACTCCCCTTTCCTCCCATGAAGATGGCCCGGGTTGCGATCATCGACCAGAAAGCATCTTGGGTAAATGTTCACCACGGATAGCAGCAGTTCAGAGCACATGTATCACAGCCATCATTGTTGGAAATCATCGGCGCCACACCAGCTCCTACATGCAGACCCATTAATGCTGATTGCATTGTCCAGATCGAAATGCTTCGGGCAGTTGAAGATCGAATATGTGCCTTGACAATGGGGTCTCTGACCGGAGGATAATCACGACCAGCAGTTCTGTGATCCCAAACGTTTGCCGTGCGAGGCTTGCCACCCACAGTTTGCAACCCTCTGCGCGATGACTTCCAAAAGACTCCCGCGCGGCCTGGGATTGCTATCCGAATGTCAGGGTGTCGGTTGCAATGGGACGATGAGGTGTTCTCAGGAAGTTAGGGCAAAACGTACAGCTTGGATGTGTTCTTGTGGGCTTGTGGGGAAACGATTTCGATCCGACCAACGAAGCAGGCGCCCACCAGATCTTAGACTGGGCGGCGGCCAACCTGCATACATGATGTAGGATACGTAACGACTGACTCGTCGTTAGTCGCCTGTCTGACGAGTCGTTCGATCAGTCCATCATGTCCTCACGTTGTCCGTCGATCAACGTGGGATGCACACCGTGATCCCAGACGTCTAGTCACAAGAATGAATGTCTGTGCTCGTAGGGTGACCCTCACCCAGGGGCCTCGGCTTGTCCCGCCCACGCACGGCTCCCCAGAGATCGAAGAGCATCCCCAGGACTCGTGCACTCCCCTTCCCACCTTGCCGTGCTCACCGGGACGCGCGGATCGACACGCGGGAGAGAGGCGGAGCATGTCGGATCCTCGTCAAGGGAGGGAAAACCGCCCGGACAGGACACGCTGCGTTTCCCAAACGGCCCGGGGCGTTTGCTGAACAGCCCTGCCCTGTTCGATTCCTGCTTTGGGTGCGTTTACGAAACGGCTTCGCGTGTCGGGGTGGTTATGATCGGGGTGGATTGTCTGCCCTCCACCCCGTGCTCCTGCCGCTCCGCCTGCCCCTTGACCCCTGCCACCCTGCGCCAGGGCGGCGCGGCCGCTCGCGGTCCCAGGAGGGGCGCTGGAGCCGAGGCGTGGCGGCCGCCCGCCTCCCGCGGTTCGGGAGGGGGGGGGAAGAGGGGGGTGCTGACTAAAGGGGGGGGTGGACATCATGGCGCGGGCCATGATATTTCTCCAGATCTCATGGCGCCTCTCTTTATTTCATTGCGTCCCTGCCCCCCCCCCCTGGGCCGCGCACATACCGCCGGTCATGCTTTGCACCCCCCCCTTTTGGACGCCCCCCTGTTGGCCGCCCCCGAGTTTGGGGGGGGGGGGAGAGGCAGGCGGGGGCGGCGGAGAGCGGAGCCGCGGCTCTTGAGGGCGGGCTGAGCAGCGGCGCCGGGCCGAGGCCGAGGCCAGACATCCGGGTCAGCCCCAGGGGAGCGAAGGCACTCGCCCTGCCTCTCTCGCTCCCCTTCTCGACCCCGGGGCTCACGCTTCCCCGGCTACACGCTGCAAGAGATCTGCAGGCGACGTTCGACGCGCCGTTGGGCAGCCGAGGCAGCCTGTAGATGATACCATCTGCCACGCCAGAGGCCCGAGCTATGACCCCAAAGCCACCAGGCACCAGGCAAAACAACAAGAATTGGGAGTATTGTTCTCGCTGCAGCGTTGGTCACACGCCTGACTGGAAGGGTGCTACCGCTCGAGCGCTGGCCACACCCCTGATCAAGGATGCTCCTGTCGCAGCACCGCTGGCCACATCCTTGATTGAAGGGAGGTTGACTCGGGAACGGAGTGCTCGCTCCTCCTCCTCCTCCCCCTCTTAACATCAAAGGGACAGCACCCCTGCGCACACTCTGGTGAAGGGTGAGGTCACCCGACGAGATGCTTGTGTGCGACCAGGGTGGGATGTGACCTCCGGGGTAAGATAGCCGGGGGAGCCCCCAGGGGAGCGAAGGTAGCTGCGCGTCGCGGCCGGGGCCGTTGGGCCATCTTTCTGCAAGGGCGGCGCGAGGGCGCGAAAACAAGCCCGCATCGCGTGGCGCGATGCACGAAGCTGGATGGCTTGGGACAGTCAGGCAGGTCTGACGGCCAGCGCACCGGTGATCAAGGCTTGGTGGAATTGGAGGAGGTGTAGGAGACTACGGGGCGATGTTAGGGGAGGGATAGGCTCAGGGGCGGACTGCATCGACCCCAATCGCCCATTGATCGCCGATAGGGGTCTGATAGCCCCATCCCGCCCAGGAGCGTGCGGATTCGCCATCGGGGGCTCATCGCCGATCTACCAGCGATGTACCGCCGATTCCAGGTCGATGTTTCCGCCCCTGAGGCGGTATCCCCCCCTGACGTTGCCCCTCAATAGAGAGGGGTTCCCTTCCACCCGTTGGTGGTCAGGCACTTCCGCTCCCACTGTCTAAGAGTTGTCTATGGTTCATTCCCATGCCCGTGAGTGTCTCGGAGATGTGTGTATGTGTGTGCGTGCTGTGTGCCTACAGAAAACCATTCCATCCGTCCGAGGTGGTCTTCGTACCCGGCTGCTTGCGGCAAGTCCCGCCACCGTGCTAGCCCAGTATTCTTGGAGGCGACTGCTCGAGGGGCGACAGGAGGAGGAGGAGCAATGGAGGAGGAGGAGGAGGAGGAGGAGGAGGAGGAGGCGGAGGCAGAGGTGGAGAAGGAGGAGGAGGAGGCGGAGATTGTAACATGTGAGTCGGGTGGCGTCAACGTACAGTGTGCGTTCACGGTTGGAGTAACAGTCAGCATGCGGTCACGTGTCAGATTTCGACCAGATTGATGTTATATGTCATAGGTTGATGTTGTCACTGGGCGGAGTACGAAGTATACAAAATAGAGGAAACGATGATGCCGAGGGGGAGAAGGAGTCTCATGAGGAGGTGCAAAGAGAGTAGGAGGTGTGTCGTGAGAGTGCGATGCGGAGCACCATGATGTTGATCATGTTGAGGATGTGCTGAACATCGAAGGAGCAGCACCCCGAATCACACTCTGGTGAAGGGTGAGGTCACCAGAGGAGATGCCTGTGTGTGACCAGGGTGAGATGCGACCGACCTCCGTGGGTGAGAATATGTCATGGACTTGTTATCCTTGGTTCGCTTTGACACGACGGGACGGTCACGAGCACGATCATCCGACAAGGAACTGTTATGAAACGACCTCTGGTGCGAAAAGCATCCACGTGGCATGCAGAAGGCAAACAGGAGACCACCTGAACACGGTACACGAAATACGTCATGCTGGGGTTTTCCGTAGCCATGTTGGCTCAAGCCGCCGGGCCGCTGCGCTCCGGCGATGGCCTCCGAGCTGGGGCGCCCCGTGGCTCACGGGGCCCTCCTCGTGGCCACGTCGGCGCTCTCCTGCTGGAACCTCCTCGCGGAGACCCTCCACGTCACGGCGGCGAACACGGCCGTCCTGTGCGCGGCCCGCGACGCGACGGCGCTGGCGGTGCTCTGCGCCGCCGAGGCCCACCGCCTCGCGTGCGCCGCGCGCCGCGGGCGCGCCGGCCGCTGCGAGGGCGGCGCCGCGGCCGCGGCCCCGGCGGGCCGCGAGGACTGGGCGCTGCTGGCCACCGTCGGGCTCCCGGGGCCCTTCGTGGCCTCGCTGTGCACGGTCCTCTGCGCGGCTTGGGCTGGCGCCGACGCCGTGGGCGTCCTGAACGCCTTGGCGCCCGCCTTCGCCAGCGGCCTCGCCGCCAGTTGCGGCCTGGAGCGCCCCACGCGCCGCTCGGCCGTGGGCGTCCTGCTGGGCGTCGGGGCGGGTCTGCTGGCCACCGCCGCGCCGGTGGCCGGCCCCAGCGCCCACGTGGGCGGGGGCGCGCCCCGGCGGCCACTGGTAGGCACGGCCGCAGGTCTGGCGATGGCCTTCCTGCAGGGGCTCTTCCTGGTCGCGATGAAGCCGCTGCTGGTGGCCCGCGGCCACAGGCGGCCGCTGGCGCCCTCCACGGTCACCAGGCTGGCCTACGCCTTCGCCTCGGCGGCCTCCCTGCTCGCCCTCCTTGCGCTGGCGGCGCGGGAGGGCTGGGGCTGGACGCTGACTGGCTGGAGGCGCCAGGACACATGGCTGGCCCTGTACGCGGGCACCGTGTGCGGGGCGCTGAGCTACTCCCTCATCGCTTGGGCGAGCTATATCCTGCCCGTCACCGTGGTCACGCTGTACGCGGCCCTGCAGCCCCCGCTCACGGCGCTCGTCGCCTTCGCCGCCCGGGGGGAAGCGCTGAGCGCCGTCGGGCTGGGGAGCATGGCCCTCGCCGTGGCATCGCTGGTGGTCGCCGCCGACAGCGGGCTGGCGGAGCGCCCCGCCGCGCAGGCCGCGCCCGCGGGCGCGGGCGAGGCGCTCGTGCGGCGCTGAGGCGCGGCGCTCGGACGCGTGGCGGCGCCGGCCGCTGGGCGCCGAGGGCGTCCACGCGTGGCGGCTGCGGGCTGGCCGTGGCCCCGTCGGGCCACCCAGCGGCCGGCGGCGGCGGCGGCGGCGGAGGCGCCTCCCCGCCGCCGCCGCCGCTGCCACGCGAGGCTCGGAGCGCCCTGCACGCCGCGCCGCGCCGACCACGGAGGCGGGCCCGCGCACCGCGGCCGCCGACGGAGGGGCTCCGCGGCTGCAGCCGCGGCCAGGGACGGGGGGGGGATGGCTCGCGGCTTGGCCGCCGGCAGAGCTCGGGATGTCCTCGGCTGAGGGGCGTCGCCGCGCAGTTGCTCATGCGCGCGTGCGCGCGCGACAAAAAAATACATCATGCTGGAGGCGGTCGTCTTGGGGAAAATCAGGCCCGCCTCGTCCATTGTATTGGCCAGGAGGGCATTTCGGCGGTTGGGCGACAAGCCAACAAACAGATCAACTCCAGAGCTTGGAATGCCACACACGCTGATGAGGCGGGGCCAACTCCCGAGGCTATCGATCCTGGGTGGCCCCCCAAAGGACCCCAGGAGGCACCCAAGAGGGCCCCAAGACGGCCGAAGAGGGCCTTCGGACGAGCGCAAGATGGCCCAAGAGGGCCCCCAGGCGGCCCAAGTGGGGCCCGAGATGGCCCCGCAACGGCCCCAGGAGGCTACCAAGAAAGCCCAGGGGAGCCGATTTGGGCCCAAGAGGCCCCCAAAAGGGCCCTAGTTGAGCCCCAGGAGACCCCCAAATCCTCACCACGAGGGAGGCGCGTTGGCCAGTTCACGCCTTTCTTCGCCCTGCTGCGCCAGCCAGGCGTGATGTGCTTTTTGCGTTTGGCCTAGGTCGGCCTTCTGTTTTGCAATGCATCATTTCAGAACGCTGCGTGCTCATGCATGACGTCCGTGCAACGTCAAAAACGTTGGCGAGTTCCAACA